AAAAAACGAAAAATGTTCACCAGACATAAGTCTACTTGCGCGGAAAATGCAAAGACGCAAAGACCTCGCTTGCAAACTACAGTGGATATGCGCAGGGAAACATGCGCAAACCTTTTAGTCGAGAAAATTTCCCGAAACTCTACAAATGTTTTTCGACAAGCATATTGCATATTGAGTGTTTCTTCATGTCGGGTCCATTTGAAACTGTAACTCCTCGATGATGTCTGCCTTCTCTTCTTCGTCTCGTTGCATAGTAAGTTTAGAGATCCCATTGGGCAATATTTTTAACGGTGCCCCTCAAATATAACGTTTTTGCTTACTGGACACAACAGCACGTACACCATGACACATGTGTACCGCTGCGCTTACGGAATTATCAACCACCAGAGTTGCAGGTTTTCTAAAAATAAACACAATCCAAGCATTCGTTAGATGCTAAAAAATCAGGTGAGCCGCTTTACTGAAAATGTGAAGGCTCTGTTATGCTATGGATAAAGTTTTTATAGGTGCAGAATTGTGGCATTCAAAGTTGCCAAATGCTTGGCAAAGGTAGAATTGAGCAAAATAAAATAAGGAAATATCCATCTTCCCATAATTCATATTTATTTAGTCTTTGAATTATTTTGTCCTACATGGATATTCACATAATATTCTCAAAGCCCTACCACAAATAATTATTTTCCCCTGTAAAATCTCTCATCTTTTTATTTTAGTTTAATTTTTCTATTTTTGTTTCCATGTTTGTGGGGGGGGGGGGTGAGATTAGACTTATGATAAATTCAATTTAACACTTTGTTTTTAGTGATTACCACCTTACCCGAAAATGTGGGTGATGTTTCATGTTCACACACACGCAAACATGCTCGCGCGCGCACGTGTACGCATGTATTACCTGCCTCCTCATTTTAACATAACAACTACCCCCCCCCCCCCCCACACACACACTTAATTGAGAGGGGGAAATATGATTAATATGGAGTTTAGTGCAGGTAAAGCATACATTGTGGTAGTTGGGCTCATCTGTTTCTTTTCTGATGAAACACAACCAACATTAAACAACATTTGACGTTTATGAAGAGGGACAACTGAATATAATAATCATAAATATATCAGCGCGCGCAGTATGACTGGTGGCTAAGTGCACTTACTGATGTTCACAACTCCTAATCTGCTCGTTTGATACACTGACAAATAATAATCAAGCAATTATCAGATGTCACAAATCAGGTGAGGCGTTTGACTGATAAAAAGGGAAAAGTATATTATAATACTTGCCTCCAAATATAGTCGGGCATCCGAGAATGAGTATTTTGGGGAATGGCTGAGCTCTGTTCTAGCACAATAAAGATAAGTAAAAACGTTAACGGTAATATTGTCCTGTCACCGAAATTTATAGCACAATATTGATCAGACGTCATAAGGCTGATGTTATTATGGTATGATATTATCATTTAATCTTTACAAAAAGATTTGTCATAGAAATAATTAGGCCGGCATTCTAAAAATGTTACTGTGCAGTGAACAAGAGATGAGTTTCAAAATTGTGCTTTATTTGTATATTTCTTCATTTGCTATTTTGCAAAATAATTTCTCGTAAGCGTACTTGTTGTAACTTTATGTTTTGTTTTATTTATGTTTATTCCTAACGTTAGGTTTTTCAAGGGAATAGAAAGGGGGTGAGCTAGACGTAGCAAGTGTATTCCACTTTAATATCTGTTTTGTTAATCATTTTCTTATCATAATAGTAATACGTACATCGCGCAAGATTTAAAAAAAAATATTCTTCACGAATCCTTTCGATTGCGGTACTTTGCATCATGCCTTTTGTAGATGTAAATCATTGATAAAAGGCGATAACTAATTTTCTTGACTTATGACGCCGCAGTCTCCTTCTCTTCATTTCGTGAACGGCTCCATTAGCTAGCTGCTTGAAACGGATGAGAGAAAAACAAAGAGGGAAGATTCTTCGTCATCTCTCAAACTTCTCCTTCTCGGCTTACTTGTAATATCGCAGGTGTGGGCCTACGCGCTGCTCATTCTTGGAGGGGTTGACATTGAGAAACCATTCTGTCAGGCTTTCCGTTGCTGTTTTGATCCACTCTGTCAAATAATGCGGGAGACAGTTACTGCTATTGTTTACACCTCGTTTTAATATTCTACTAATGGAAAACAGAGGGAGTGGGATCTTGAAATAAATTTGCATACAGCAGCGGATACCTAATGACTGAACTGAACATCTATGTTACAGATTGAATTCTACGAATGTGCACGTTTCAAACAGTGTAAAGCAAACTCCAAGCATTTATCGCATGCCACAAACTAAGTGAGGCGTTTTATTATTCGTCAACCGTTACAATAATCACATTAACTGAAAAAAGTACTTTACACATAGAAACTAAATTCGATTTGAAAAACCACCTTTAACTACTGTCCTCATTACTTGTACAATATAGTTATCATAGAGATATGTAGTGTTAGTCATTCTACCAAGGTGAAAACACACGAAGTAAGGCTCGCGTTGGCAGCTTACAAAACAAATAAAGACAAGGTACTATAAGAAAACCGTTATGGATTTTTGTTTTTTTAAAATAATGAATTTATTATAACTTAAGTCAGTGATGGAGTAAATTTGAAGTGCATTGTAAGTAGATTTTCTTTCCGAGCCTCTATTGTTTAGATAAGTCTACGATGCATTTTGCTTAATTGTATTATGTTATTTGTATTATTTAAATTAATGGGTAGAAAACTTATATGCAATATTTTATAGTTTGCCAGTGGCTGTTTTTAACTTATCAGTTGGAATATGGCCATTTTGGGGGTTCTCTTTTGCATTTTCGACTCCGAAGTATATAATATCATAGGAACGCCGCCCCCCCCCCCCGATTTTTTTTTTAATGAAATAGATACATAAAATAAATAAAAAAGGAAAAAAGACGAACGAAATTTTTAAATTACAAAAAAAAAGACTCTCCTCTGCATGTCAGTTTACGATGATAATGTATTAAGTTTGTTTTAATTGTTTTTATTGTATTTGTTTATGGTTGTTTAATCGACTATCTTAGTAATATTTATTTCATGGGGCATATCTAGCTATTGCAATGTAATACCTTTATTTTATTTTTTTAAATGCAGATTATGTAGGGGATCTCTTATCACTTATATTAATTAGTAGAAAACAAATGAGGAGCGTAATTAAAAATGTTAAGTATATACTGTATGGAATTTCTAAATTGAAATTGTTCAATGGCTGCATGCATTACATCAATTGAACTTGTTTTTCATGTTTCTTGTACTTACCTTGTTAAGCGTCTTGAGCATCTCTTGGGGTTGAAATGTGCGCATTATAAATGAATGAATTTGAAAGATGTGCAAACACTGTACTTAACCCTAACCCTAACCTCCATCTCAGACGTCCTCGCAATAACCCTTATTGCAACACTTACCCTAGACCAAAGATTGTATCTAACCCTAACGTCCATCTGAGACGTCCTGACATCAAACCTGATTGCAACCCTTACCCTAGACCAAACGATGTACCCATCACTAACCCTAACCCTAACCTCCATCTTAGACGGCGTAACATCAAACCTTATGCCTGCTATTGCTCAGCTTTTTCTCGATACTTGTGTAGTACTATAATAATACAATAACATTCAATAAAAAGAAATAATTAGATTATTTGAATTAAGAAATTAAAGTTCATACTTTTTTTGTATTAATAATTCATTAGGATGCTTTTTTTTTTTCGTTTTATCTTTATGACACATCTCTGCAAATCTATTCATACATTCAAGAAATTATATACGTACTGATTAACATGTGTGTGTATTTAAAGATTACACTTAAGCTTACAAATTTCCCGTTTTCTATGTTTCCAACCATTTATTTCTCTCTTTCTCCTTCTCTCTCTCTCTCTCTCTCTCTAACTCTATACCTCTTTTTCTCTTTCTCTATCGCTCTGTTATCTATCTATTCCAATCTCTCTTCTTACACACACGTCTTTTCTTATCTTTTCATGTCCCCATTTTTTTCTCTTTTCTCCCCATTTCGTTTCTCCTCGCTCTCCCTCTCACATTCTTACATTATTGTTATATATTTCATCGTCATATTTAATCTCATTTCATTCGACATGTCTCATTAATTTTAATGCATATGTATCTTACCCTGACACAATCCTCCATCCTAGACGTTCTAACCCTAAACCCTATTACAACCATTATCCTAGACCAAAACTGTACTTGACAGTAAATCTAGCCCCAATCCTAGACGTCCCTTCCTTAAACCATATTGCAACTCTTACCCTAAACCAAACACTGTACTTAACGCTAACCTCCTTATCAGACATCCTAACCTTAAATCATACTTTAACCCTTATATTACCCTGAGTCTAACTTTACACCTTATCTTTGACGAAATAAAGCCCGCAACAATAGTCGGCGGAGCGTCATTATGTCGACGGCTGAATGCATTGTTCATTATTAATGACCGATTAGGTCCCCGTGTTTGAATCAAAAAATCTTAATTGTACACAAATCATTAATCGGGACAAAATACATTGTATAAACACTTTCATGAATCAATCGACCTTATATCCTTCTTTGATTGATGTTTTTGGACCCATGTTTGATTTATCGTGCTTCTCTAATGCAAGATTTTAAATACCTTCAGCCTCTTGGGTTATTTTGGCACTTGTTTAGGACCCAGGGGAGGGGGGCGTTTCACAAGGCCTTTTTTTAATGACAATTGACAAAAATCAGTGACAAATCTGCTGATAACCAATCAGAAGCAAGGATTTCAGTAGCTTATACAAAAACCTGCCATTTGTCACTGATGACAAGTTTTGTGAAACGCCTACCAGGTCTAACGTAATAACGGCAGCCCCCCCCCCCCCCATATGTGTACCCCTCAGTCGAAATGTTTCCTAACGAAAATAACAATGGAAAGATCTCGCTTTTCACTAAATATTACATCTTGTTTTGTTTCTCTTTGACTACTTCCAGGTTCTATACCTTGTAGTGCTCCCTATGTTCCTCCCCATTCCACGGTGCAAGATCTCCGTCTGAATTACAACTTCACAGACAAAGTGATTGTGACGTGTGATGCCAGTGATTCTAACTTCACCCTTCAATGTCACAACAAAGGATTATGGAGCGGACCCGTTGTATCCTGTCCAGCGCCCGCCCTACTCGGACCCCCCGCTGCAGGCCTAGGTATTTGACTGTGGATGTGTAATATTAATCATCAAAGGAGTTGGTGGAGTATCGCCATCGGATCCTTGTCTGACTTGCACAACTGGCAATCGACAACAGATCTTTGTCACAGGCTGCACATATAGCCCTTTTACGATTAACAATAATATAAAAAAGATGATATGTTGACGCAAAGCAACTATTAAATTGCTATAATAGTGAAATTAAATGTTGACGCACTGTTGAGTATAATCTGGACTGCATATTGGTTATATAATATAATTATACTATAATAATGATCATTATTATGATCACTTTTTACCTTTTCATATATTTTCACATTCCACCGTATAATAGGAATTATAAATTATATTTATTTCAATAATTCATATTAACCCTCATCGAAATTGTCTTTATGTCATTTTGTGTACTTTTCTCCTACATCCTATTTTACCGTGTTACTAATCTTACAACCAGTATTAACATTGTATTTAATTTGCACTGTTAAAGATATTCAGTTCAGTCTTTGACTGAATTTGATTGGATTGAAATGAATTGAGTTAAATTGACATGTTTCCAAAATACAAACATAGTTTGAATACCAAAACAAAAAATTGAGAAAAATGGTAACTTTTGTTTTCTTCTGGAATATTTTATTTCACATTTTGCATAACACAACCAGTCGGTAATAATGATTCACCCTTTCAAGCACATTTTAATGTCTACCCCTTCATGATTCAGTTGGATGACAAATATACTGATGGTGATAACCTATGGTCATATATTTATATCATCCATGCAGTTGATGCTGGCAAAGCCCAATGCAGTGCCCCGGCGGTGCCTCGTGACTCAACCATTCAGAACCTTCGTCTCTCCTACAAAGACCGTGACATGATAAATGTGACATGTAACGAAGTAACTAACGGGGTTCCTGAATGGTTCGAATTGACATGTGCCAATGGAATTTGGAACGGACAAAACATAGTTTGCCCTGATCCCGTGATAGGTAATAATGGGCCGCGATACGTACAAACACATGCACACACACGCACACGCACACGCACGCACGCACACACAAACACGCACACAGATTTTTAAAATGTATATCGGAGAGAACATTGCACTGTTCGTATATTTAGCAGATGAGAACTGTCATTTAACTGGTCGGCTATTAAAGAACATACAATTTAGTTTTTTGAACCAATATTCCACTATTTAGAATTCCCAGGACAGAGATAATATATTGGGTTTGTTGCCCTTTAGTTATAAGACTTAATTCAATGATAACAATTCTAAGTTATGATTCTTGAGAACAGTCTGCTAAAAATAATTCCTTAATTATTTTAAAAGAACGTCCCATTTGCTCAACGAGTTATCCTCGTCCGAATTTTCATGGCAAAATATTCTATAGGGCATTATGGTCGTTTTCGAAACTTTTGGCTAATTAAATGACACAAGGAATGTCATCCGACATATCATTAGAAACAAGATTGAATAGAACTACATAGAATAAGTTCCTCAAAGAGAAGGTTGAGTTACAGGGAGGGGTGAACAAGAATTAATAAGCGTTTTCATTGTTATTTTGTGGAAGAACATCGGAGCTAAAATGTACCCTGAAAAGCATGGCTCTTCAATTGCGTTCATATTCATAATATGACATGTAACAGCTTCAAAAGAATCAAGGACCCTATTTGTATGCCAAACGTTTGTGTATTCCCATATATATCTAATTGTATATAGTGCTTGTTACATATACCAAGACTGGACCAATTGTCCTATAGTTTAGATCATTTTAGAACCTTGCAGTATACACCAATACTTACATAATACATAATCAAATTTCCCGATCGATTCCGCACCATTTCTTTTGCAATGCATTCGCATGACCAGAACCAAGCTTTATCTTCAACTCTACAATTCGAAAGCTGAGCATTTGACACACTGTAACGGTATACAACTTTAAGGAAGTTATGACATTAGTAATTCTAAATTTAAAATAATTTTTTCATGTGTTTCTTGTTTGGTTTGGATTTCCCCAGTTTAGATCATTTTAGAACCTTGCAGTATACACCAATACGTACATAATACATGATCAAATTTCCCGATCGATTCCGCACCATTTCTTTCGCAATGCAATCGCATGACCAGAACCAAGCTTTATCTTCAACTCTACAATTCGAAAGCTGAGCATTTGAAACACTTTTACGGTATACAACTTTAAGGAAGCTATCACATGAGTCATTCTAAATTTTAAATAGTTTTGTTCATGTGTTTCTTGTTTGGTTTGGATTTCCCCATATTCCATTTTGTCACGATTGTGTGATGATCCACATTATTTATTCATTTATTCATTTATTCATTGTTTCGTAGAATGCAACCAACCGATCCTACCAGCTGATTCATCGGTTAAAACGATAAGGGCTCGATACAAGATTGGTCACAATATCAACATCACATGTAACAGTGCGTTGGTTTCGTTCGTTTGGATATGCGACAAGGATGGTCTGTGGCGCGGTGCGGTCGCTTCGTGCCCAGTTTCACAACCACCTAATGGCGGTGCTGCAGCAGGTATGTACTCACTGCTACTTAACAAAATTACCTTTTTTGTTTAGATACTGCCTTTATTTTTTTTTTCATTTCTACGAAATGCACCTATCGTGTTTTGTTTTCTTTATGATAGCAATACCTATCCTTTTGTGTCAATGTAATGCAAACACGTGTACAGTATTGTTTACAAGTAATTTGCCTTCGTTTTGTTGATATTTTTGTTTGATTAGTTATGGTTGTTAACAGCGGATGACATTCGTTAAACTAATGTGCAACTGGTCCCTACTGTTCATTGTGCCTCCTTGTCATTTTCCCGTCCTGTCTTAAGAGCAACATGTTTAAATCTCCGTTATTTCCCCCCAACTATAATCATTCATTAGTCCAAGGATAACAATTTAGAAATTTGAAAAGTTGGACCAAGACAAATATTTCACAACGGTAATTGAGCAGCTGCAGTTAAAGGCAATGGAAATGGGCAAGACCAAATTAAAACCCTTGGCCATTTCCGCTACAAGTATATTTTCCTTAAAAAAGTTATTCCTTAAGTTTACTCAGATTTATATAATATTGGAATGGGAAACAACACTATTTTTTGTTCAATATAATCCAGGTTTCACAACATTGTGGATCTGTTTTTACTTCGACAACAATTCACTTCATTTGCATTTAGTCCATATATGTTTCAACATCAAAAGTCGTGTTAAAATCACCCTTCTCTTTTAAACAAAATAGTGCGATCGGATTATTGTTTTAGCTCAAATTTTGAAAAAAAAAGATAATGTATAATTATGTGAAATTATGTTCAGCTTTATACCGGGAAGAGCGTGTTAGCAAAACGTTATTATATCCCATATATCGTCGCCGTTTTCACGAACCGGCACAGCCCAACGCGCAACGAAATAAGTACATTCTGAGAAAAACGCGTTTTACGTTTAGCCCGTTTTGAATTCGCCAGAAACATGCCTTATGTCAAATTTTATATCACAAAATACATATCAATGAAAGGAAAATATTCTGTATTTTCTATACATTCCATTTGTTAAGCATAATGACAATTACTATTAATATTACGAAGCTTTGGACTCTCGTGCCGGTTCGTGAAAATATTATTTTGCTGTTTACGTAGCAAAAATATTTTCACGAACCGGCACAAGCCACTGTGTCGTTTTTCCTATGTAACTTTACGCGCAAGACAAAAGCGCTCGCGCTGTCTTAGCGCGTATTTTATTTTCACGAACCGGCACAACCGCCTGTGTCGCGTCGTCTAGGTCTTGTAAGCGCAAAGATATTTTCACGAACCGGCACAGCCCATTGACTTATTACGGCGCGTGCCGGTTCGTGAAAATATGAATCGTGCTTTTTGGCTCGTGTGTCGTTTTTGTCATTTGTGTAACCATGGATATCTCAAAAACTAAAGCGTTTTGGATGCTGAAATTTGGTGAGATGAAAGATTGTTGATAACTTATGCTAAAAATGCAAAAAAAATAAAAACTACATTTTGAAGGGATTTCGGTGGCTTGTGCCGGTTCGTGAAAACGGCGACGATATGACTAAAAAAAAATTTCTGAACATTTCTAATGGAAACTTCTTCATAATCTCTTTACAGGGAGATTTGGAAATAAAGAACCACAGGAGAAGCAAAATGGACGAAATGTCTTCATCACAGGCCTTCTAGTAGCAGCAGTGATAATGTTCATTCTAGTCCTGATGTCCATGGTAGCCTTCTCGATCTCCGTTAAAGGGTAATAAGGTCCTTAGTTCACTGGACATTTTTGTCTTCCCTTTTTTTTTTTTTACATAATTTTTTTGTATAAAGAAATTATTTGTACCGCTTATTTATATATATTTTTGTTTTGCTTTTAAGCCATTGAACTTGTTAATTAATTATAATAAATTAGACAATACCGCATGTGCGCTTAAAAACGCCCGTATTAAGCGCCCTATAAATGTAAATATTATTATTATTATTACTGCAAAATCGAAAATAGCAACGGAAACATACATAATTAAAGGGAAAGTCCACCCCCAAAATAAGTTTGTTTCGATAGAGGCAGAATAATAAGAAAATCAGGTGAGTGAAAGTTTGAGCAAATTCTGAATGAAAATAAGAAAGTTATGAATTATTGAAGTTGTGATCAATCAAACACAAATTGGCAACTCTGTGACTTATTATACGAGCTCTCCTTTATTTGCTTTGTGCATAATATTCCATAAAATCATGTTTTCTTCGTTATTGATGACGGAATATATATTTGTTCCTTGCAGGGGGAGTATAGAAACAAATTTGCAATTATTATATTTAGGGTGCATGTATGGTTGAAATTTTTCTTGAGGGAAAATGAAAATTTTAGATTTTTTTAGTACTGAGCAAATGGAAGTTGAGCTCGCATGATACGTCATAGAGTTGCCAATTTGTGTTTGATTGATCACAACTTCAAAAATCCTAACTTCCTTATTTTTAATCGGAATTTGCTCAAACTTTCACTGACTTGTTTCTCTCATTTTTCTACTCCTATTAAAACTAACTTAATTTCAGGGTGGACTTCCCCTTTAAGATTTTCGTCTTTCCCTCAGTCGGAGTAAATTGCAAGGATGAACAAAGTTCGGAAGGACTATTGCATTACTGAAGCTTACGCATTGATACAGCCCGCGGACATTAGACAGCCAATCACAACCCGTCAATTCTCCGCGCGCTTGTTCCTATAGTTTGTCAGTTTACGCTGCTATCATTTACTTGCGTTTTTTTAAGGGGGGGGGCGTTAAAATGTTGAACAAGAAAAGGGTAAGAATAGGCCAGATTACTTTTGGGTATAATTTGTATTAAGAGAAGATGACAATTAATTAAATTATGGGCGTAGTGGGTGGCTGTATGTAAGGGAATGCCAATATTCGTAACTTTATATTATGTTGAAACACATAAACAAAAATTGGAAGCTTCACTTCATCAGAAGATTTGCCATTTACTACGATTATTCTCATGTTTGAATTTTACTTTCAGCCAATTAACTGTTTTAGCACCCCTAACCCCAAACGAAATGTTATTTATTCTTTGAGAAAAAACGAGTTTCAAATATATTGATGAATTTTATATTTTTGTCATTGTTATGGTGTTCCTTTGCGGTATTATGTAAACAGGCCCTACTTTGTGTTACTTTCAGTATGTTGTTACTGACATTACTTTCATAAATCTGCTATTTAATGACAGACGGAGCTTTGGACCTTCAAAACATTCCTTACAAGATGAGAGAACTGACCGAGGACCACTCCCCGAGGTTCCTGCAGGGTACGCGGATTACCTTGTAGGTGATAAGTCACTGTACACTGCACCATACTTGAAACCAGACGAGATTCACCATAGCTATGAGACCTACGAGAAACCAATCTAACGTCACCTGACTCTTCTCTTCATACTAAATGAACCAACAAGGAACAGAACTTTTAAGTGCAAATTTGTATGATTTACTAATTATTACATTTTAGTTTTAGAGCATGCTCTTGTTTGAAACAAATACTCAATTACCACTTGGTCTCTATTGCGTAAGGGTCATGAATGTGAAAAGTAATATCAAATATCTTCGCAATTTACATTGCAAAAATGAAGTTTCTTACTTTTTATTTCATGCTATTAACATACTAACTGCTCCAAATTATGGAACAATCTCCCCAATTTTGTACAAACTGCTGATTCTCTAATGACTTTCAAAAAACACCTCAAAACACACTTGTTTAACTAATGCCCGCTTACCAGCACTTGTTCCTGCTCTTCTATTACCTGTCTTACCCTTTATTTTGTTCATTCCTATATTGTTACATACATGTCTGTTGTTAAGCATCTTTTTATTTTGTTAATTGTTCATTGTATATGTTAATTAAGCGCTTTGTATCTACTTGTAGAAAAGGCGCTATACAAATGTTCATTATTATTATTATTATTAACTTATAGACCATACACTTGCATAAAGTCATATTTTCCCTGATGATTAGCTGAATATGTGACTACTTACAATCTCCCTTGACCTGCCTGTCAATCTTGTGTAACGATAATAAACCAACCCCTCAAAAAAATTCGAAACTCAAGTTTGATCATGTATATCTCTCTTGCCATGGCATAATAACGTTTACGTTTATGATTATTAGAAAGTAGTTTTATTTTTGGTTAACGATACCCTATTAGTTTTGATTTGTTCTAGTCATGAAATGTGTACTAGATGTAAATAAGGGCGCGGTCAAAAGTAAAAATATTGCGAAATTAACTTTTCTTCTTCTTAATAATAATAATAATAGTGGGTTCTTGTATAGCGCCTTTCCAACAGTTGTCAACCTAGGTATTATGTTTTAAGTTGGCATGACACCATTAGTGCATGGATTTCAATATCATTTCCATTCCTATGTTGCATTGATCAAGCTTCCGATAATTTATATTAATCAGTTTAATTTGAATATTTAACAAGAGTGTATGAACGCGTTACACATTTACACAGATAAGATATTAAATGTATTTCCCGTATTGCCTTTATGTAATGATGAAACGGTTACACATCTAATCAGAAAGCAGTAAACGATTCTTGAAAAGTACAACTTCTCAAGAAGCAATGAGAGAACATATCTTATTTCTCAGGATATATGATCTTCATTCGGGTGTTAATTTCTCAATTTTCAGCTTCCTTCCAGCACTTGACCATTTATCTGAATACCTGGGTTATAACTGCAAATTTAATATGCAGAAATACCCTTCATTAAATGATGTTGGATTGAGGTCACACACGGATGTATTCATCCGATTGGTTTTTGTTTGTCGCCACGAAATCTGTGAATTTATAATATTTTGCATTCTTGATTGTTTAATGGTTTTCTAATTTCGGAGTCTAAACGAAGTTTTATTTCGAATTCGTTTAGGATTATTGAATAAAGAGTATGGTACCTAAACGAAGTTACATGTTCACCTTTAAATCTACATTGTGATACTAGCAATACATTCGTAATGGTTCTCGTAACCCTCTTTTATTACAATTTGGTACCTATTTTCTTAGTATCCAGGTTGGGGTTACTTTTTTCTGTCCCCTTCTTTCATTTTATTATTTGACTTTATTTAATTTTAATTTACCCTTTTTTTAGCGGGGAACTCGGTATCTTTATTTTTTATTACTCGATTTCTTTCTTCTAAAAACATATGGAATCAAAATCCATTAAAAGTATGTCGTAGTTCCACAACATAAAGAGTGCATACAGTGAGCGATTTCAAGTCGGTGTTAGTGTTAGTTCTTAGAGCAGTCAAGAGCTCTTAAATCGAGCAAAGTAATTTGCTGATGAAATTAAGAACCCGATACCGATACCGATATCAATAACGAAAGCTTAACACCGCAGTGGCACCGTGACATCGCCACACAGACTTGATTTCACGAAAATCATTTAAAAATAGTACTTCAAAAAATATGATATCATCAAAAGCACAAAATAAATTTACACTTATTTCTCTGGTCTTATAAGATAACAAATTTTACTCAAAAGAATGTATGAATCACAAAGTAAAGGACCTGATTCATATATTCTTTATTTGATTGTCAGACAATAAATTGGCGTCGTTCGTGCGTTGACTGTTGTGCTGGTAAAACACTAAAACCGAACTGAAAATCCACATTTGCTTAATCCCTAGGGGCTACTGTTAGTGAATAGGACATGTGTACGTAAAATGTTAACACCAGCCACAAAGTTCGGTAATATCGATAACACTAGCTACCGAAGTTGGCGATATTCAGAGGTCAAAGCCTTAACACCAGCCGATTTAAGGCTGGTGTTAGTATTTATTAAACACTAACACCAGCTCTAAACACCCAATTTAAAATCTCTCTGTGCGTTCAAAATGAGGGTCAATTTGAGTGGTTATCAATTGTAGTGATTAATAAATAAGTGATTAAGCATGTTATATACACACACGTCATTGGCCAGTTCAAAAGAATACCAAGTGTCATGTGTATACGCCTTCTTTTGGTGTCAACCTTGTTTAGTTTTTAAAATTAACAAGATAATTACGTATTAAATATGCATGTAAGATTCGTTTCTGAAAACCTATTAAGCGGAAGATTAGTAGATACTTTATTTTCCTTTTGACTGCATTGGGAAATACACTATTATAAGCATAATTAACCTATTTAAAAAAAACAATGGTATGCTTTTTTGATATAATTTTTTTTTTGGCAGTGCTCATTAACGTATTTTTTTATTGATGTAATTGTTGTATTAAGAAATAAAATAAGATACAAGAAACATGTCGCTTATCTTTTCTTTATTCTAAAACGCTTCTCCTTTGCCTCTTCGTGTAGTTTTTTTGTTGTAAGTCATAATTATAATATCCTCATACAGAACTGAATAACAAATGATCAAATGAAAATTGGTAAAGGCTGTTAAAAAAGCCTGACAATAGAAACTCAATACACCCTTCACGATTAAAGCCGTCAATTTAGATTGGGAGTAAACATTGCGTCATCAATGTTTTCAGATGAGCATGCATTGTTGCGTCACTACCTGTGCTGCGCGTTCACATCATTTTGACATGGTCGCCATTTTGGAAGCGAGTAAACAAGATGTTGACTCGCAATTTAAAATGGGGCCCATGTTTGAGCATGCGCACTCCTGTAACCGTTAAAGGGTGTATCACGACAGGGTTACCTTTAGCATGTTTTCCTAAGCAACCTTAGAGAATGTTTTATTGAAATCATCAACACTGGATATAGTATTTGTTCTCTTTCATTAAAACAGAACTGTTAATTCATATTGGGATTATAAAAGTAAAGTGGGTATTGAACTCGTGCAAGGACCTGATCAGTATGCAGGCTGGATATAGATCAAGCAGTCAAACGGCAGTTGTAATACTACTTGGTTATCGTCATCGCATTGCCATTGTATGGAAGATCTCTTTACATTTCAGGAACCCCCCCCCCCCCCCCCCTCCTCCCCGAATAAAGGGTAAGGGTGGGGGGAATGACCTGAGATGTGAAAGATGAGAGCTCCAGTACATCCTCATCTAAATTTTTGTTTCGCCATACTTAGTTTGTAGTACAGTTTTCTTTCTACGGATTAATGATTTATCAAAATAACTGACTCAAGGTAATATTCTATAACAAAATGTTTAATTGTTGATCTTAAAATAAACACGGAATATAGTTTATAGAGTTTATCTTCAAGACATATAAAGTATTAGAAAGAACCAAGACAAAAAATGGAATTAAATTTTTGACAGTACTTGTTGTCTTTGAAATTTGACGGCATCACACATGATTTTTCGCATGCAAAACGTATGTCATTCAATTTATTTTTTAAGGCTCAAAACCAGCCCCTTTTTAGGGGCATTTGTCATTTCCATTGCCGCGAAAGTGTTTAGGGCATGTTTTATTCTTCGTCACTATAATGTTTAATCATACTATGGCATATATTACATTGGGATTTTAAGTTTTAAGTTAGATTCACATACTACATACCAACGGGAACAGTATCGATATTTATTTACTATGCTTCAGGGGACAGGTGGTAAAGAAAGATTAAGAGAAAAGGGAAATGAAAAAACAGATTGAAGAAAACGGGGTAGTAGTTAGTGTGTATGGACCTTGAATAATTCCTTTATACCGGCTTGGAACTGTGGTTGTTATTTTTTTTTTTCGTTACATTACTGCTAAGAAAGCATAAATGTCTGTAAGTAAGCAACCAAACGGCCGACGGCTTTTGTGTTTTTTTTAAGTCAATAATAAAAGGTGGACTGGTTGAATTGGGGCCACTCTTAGATATAAGCTTTAATATGTCATATTCTCAAGAAACATTTTGGGGGGTAACGCAATTGTTCTTATACTCAAATCATTAAGGTATCGGGGGTATGAATACTTCAATTTCTACTCTATATGCATATATATATATATATATATATATACATTTATTTCGTAAAACCATCAATTTTATAAATTGATAAGATTTTCTGAAAAATTAATTTGAACCGAGCACACTTCAGAGACGTATTGCAACCCTCAGTCAAATATTCAATATTTCCATCACCACTTGCATATCTATAGTCGTCTGCAAATACGTAATTTGTTTTCTTTTTAAAACATACAACTTTGACCTATAATGATGATAGAGGACAAAAATCTTTAAAACATACATTTCAATATATACAATTCGGGCCGCGAACGATATGTTGAACACTCTTTTCAATCTATACCACCTCGCAAAGTATGACATTAGTGCAGAGTTGTGCTTATGGAATTCGAACCATCAAACCTGTTCGTTTGTTAACTAGGTCAACCCCATACCAAGTATTAATCTGATGCCACAAACCAGGTGAGGCGTTTGCTTGTTAAAAAAAGAGTGTAAAACGACTGAGATGTTTACATATCTTATACTATTCTGAGGAGTAGCGAAATGAACGTACATACTGCAATGACCTTTTTAATATTATGGAATATATATTAATAATCAGTAATTACCCCCACCACATTTAATTCATTATAACCTTATTACTATATGTATCAATTTTTCTTCTTCTTCATAACGGATGCTCTCCTCTTATTCCCCTTCCTTTTCTTTCCCACACCTATTTGTCTAAACATATTTCTTCTTCTAACCTTTGATCTTTCTCCACAATTAAGAAGACTTTTTTAAGAAGACTTTTTTAAGAAGACTTTTTTTCTTCTCGTAATTCACAACTTTATCCAACAGAACAAGATAACAAGTCCAACGCACGTAAATTCACCCTATAAACACAACACACACCCACATGTGAATTGCACATCTCATTTTGTATGTGTTGTAAAACTGTAAACAAAATTCGCACTCGGCCCAGAGGCCACCCCTCTCCCCAGTAAAGGGAGAAAAAAAAAATCAAAGCTCACAATCTATACAGCGTTCCCAAACACCCAACGGAAACACGTGTACTTACAACGTCCCAAGCGATACAATTCGAAATCATGTTGCAATCTTAATTTTGAGGATTTTTGGTGTTTTCATATATGTCACGTGAGAGACTTTTTTTTATTTTTTATTATTGCTACGGACACACAAAATAAAGGGAAATAGAGCTTGTTAATTAAAGTTAAATTGTAATGTTTAATTTCCAATCATTTCTCCTGTTTCACAGACTTTGTTTTGGCTTCAATAATAATACAGTATGTAAATAAACTTATCTTTAACAAAATAATTCTGGATGGGTAGTTTCCCGTCTGACATCGACGCCGGTCACAGCTCGTGTCGTCCACTTGGCCCTGGCCTCCGCAGACGGTGTCTTTGCTCCACTTGGCCCCGGTAGTCGCTCCGGATTCTTGGCCTCCGCAGACTGAGATACGATGGTGTGTGTCCCGATCCCAGACAAGAGCTAGCCCCCGACGAAAGATATGGAGAACCGGGTGGCAGTTGAGCTAGCCTCTCGTCCCGACGTGGAATTACCCTCAGATATTGACTTTAACTGCCGACTAACATGACGTTTAGTCTATTATAGCTTAGGTGGTTCTCCTCGATTTCAGTAAATTCTAAAAACATGACTACAAATATTTGGAGAGGAAATGATCTTACAAAGGAAAATACTTGTATTAAAAAGAGGCTTCCTAAATGTGTGCTAAACAACAGATAAAACATGTACACTGAATTAATGACTCCCCCCCAGGCCTATTCATAGGGAACAATACATCTTGGCCTGAAAAGAAAACATCTGACCTTAACATCTTCACCTGACTTTAACAAAGAACACTCCAGACCAGAGAGCGAAACAAATAAATTTCTTTCCTGACAATATAATAAATGTTACCATTCTATAAGAAAAAATATAAAGGTTTAAAAAAACTTACCAATGTAAGAGTACGACGATTACACTGTAGACCTAAACTATATCTCAATACAAAATGCAAACATTAGGTCATTGGCACCTATATTGCAAAATCAACGGGAAATGTTGCAGCCTCGTACAGAAAGAGGGCGCGCATCCGTTTAGATAACTAAAAAATATTCATTTTAAGTCACTGTAACTTATCTTTGCAGTTGTAAAAATTATATATATCTCTTTCACGATTGCTTTCGAATAATTGACGGATGCATTAACTCGATATATCTGTTTTGAAAATAACTATTGTTTTACATGTCAACGATCGCGGAGAATTAAATTCTGCTGCACTTTTCAAATAGTTCACATTTGATAAGGACAAATCCATGTGTCGTACCTTTCTGGCACCTAATTTTAGTTTTTACTGATCTCTCTTGTAAAAAAAGTGTACTCCGAGTCAGCTTGTTTACATGTTATCTATGGGAGCAGTTTTACTTCTCAAGAATATACAACTGATGTGTTTGTTGCCTTTAAATCTATGTAAGTTCACGAGTCTACACTCAGAAACATTCTTTGTTTCCTATGCCAATAAAGGTGAAGCAACAAAGTTCAGAAGAAAGTGATTATAAGTACATCTTAAATCGTTTTTTGTAATTAGTTAGTCCATCCTAACTGCTATCTGTGATCTCGAAATGTACCTCGTCTTAAGATAAATCAGATCCGAGGATAAGACAAAGATTTGCTTTAAGCATAGAGACCATATCCGAACTGAAAAATGAAATGGATAAACCATATATCAAACCAAAGCTTAAAGGCCGGCTGTACTAGTTGGGCCAGGCGGGATTAGACCACACAGTGTGGTCAATGACAGGTGGCTTTCTCAACAACTCAGCTCTCAATTAACATAAGAAAAAGAGAATCACGTGGGACCAATAGACATTTCTAATATGATGCACTGATGGGATGTTTGTGATTGTTGACGGCACGACTAGTATGATAGCAGTGATGAACCGCACAGATTTGAAGCAACAAAAACTGCTTATTTTAGTCAACGTCCGATAGATACTACCAAGTACTTATCGAATTTCACAAACCAGGTGAGACGTTTGACTAATCATTACAAGACTCGGGAAGTTTCAGGGAAATACCAAGCAAACCGCAGGCACCGTAGGCGTTGTGGCGTGCGCCTGCACTGTAAAAAAGAATTTGTTCATTGGTAATTTTTACGTATTTTTTCCATGTAGAATTTACTTGAAAACATTAGTTTTGCCACTTACGCACTAAATTTAAGTCTTGCTAACTCAAACGTTCAATTTAGTAGAACATACGTGGAATATTTAAGTAAAATCAAATACATAAGAACTTTAAGTAATTTCAGCTTGTATTAATTTAGTAATTTTAACTCAAAATCAGAAATTATACGTAATACTCAAACAATTTATGTTGATTATTCTTATCTTTTTAAAGTAAGGACCGATGCAGTGCGTAATAGAAATATTTACATAATTCATGAATATTCATTAAGACCAAATTACACTCTTTTTTAAATAAAACAATTCTTTTTTGTGGTTGAATGAAATGTTAAGGACTTTAAAACATTTACTAATTCATTTAGTATGGCTAAGCAAAGACAAGACAATTTGTAATTGTTACCCTGTTCAAAACAAATCAAAACTTAATATTTCAGGAAATTGTCAACCAATTTTCCTTTTAAGATGCTACGATCAAGTATATATAAAAATTTGGAGCCTTTCAATATGTGTCGAATTGAAGCGTATGTAATAGTTTGTGATGGTGGTAGATATATATATATATATATACGGTTAAATCTTAAATAGAAGTAGTGTTAGTGATTAGTGATTAATCTTAAATAGAAGTAGTGAATGATTAGTGGATGTTACTTGTTAGATTAGATGGGTACCAAATCGTGCAATATGTAATCCTATCATAGCTTTTTTTTAATTATCTAAAATGATTACAATACATAAATTATTTACGTTAATGTAACTCGATTTAACTGAGTAAAATTTATTCAGCAAAATAAGTAAATTCTACTTAAGATGCCGTAGGTAATATTTACTTAATAAAAATAAGGCAATTCTTTTCCTCAATTTTATTGAGTTATTTCGACTATTATTTGTTTACAGTGTGTAATCAAGCTAAAAAGTGGAAGTTACAAACTGATTCAGCCGAGAACGCAGGTTCGAAACTGAGTCACGTCTTTCGGATGGTGACGTTAAAAGTCGGTCCCCAGACGTAAATAATCATATCTGATTGATACACGTCTGTAAAAACCCAATTACACACACACGGCAACCAAAAAAAAAGTGACGCGTTTAACCAAAAGATGGATATTTGATGAAGTTTTAGTCATGGTTGGCATGTGTTAACATGCAATCAGTAATAATAAGCAAATATCAAAGCTGCTTTTCAACAATGGAATTAACAAAAGGCAAACGTGCCACTGATATGTGTACATACTCTAAGGCAAATTGATCAAATTAGCCTACTATCACCGTTTCTATGTAACGATGTATATCAATTTGCACATGAATATGTTGTTTATTAAAAATTCAGATTTCCTGAAGTGTACGCTATGTTATTATGAAATTTCCTTAAAGGGATCCGGTAACTTTGTCTCAGATTCTGAAATAAAATTCTGGATTTAGCTCATGATGCAATGATAATTATAAACCTTTAGGTCAGTCAGGAACCCTGTGACTTTTACAAGCCAACCGCCTGTCTGATTATCAAGATATTTATGATTGGAATTACAAATTTTGAAAACCGTTCGCCTGACGGTTTTTATAACACTACAGTCTATTGGGGAAAACGAGTATGGTAAAACCAGTCACTCAAAGATTTTTACTTGTTTGAGGCACTTCTTGATCATTTTGAAGCGCAAATTTTTTAGGGCTTCAATATTACACCATATCACAGACACTGATAACACGTAGGGCCGTGTATCTCAGATTTACCACTGTTAAACGATCCCTTTAAGTCATGAATGAACAATGGACATTTCTATGTCCGTGCATTAAACATGTTATACTCCAGTAGTGTTCAATTATATATCATTATTTATATCAAGTTTGTCTAAAGTTTCGTCAAATGTAAGCGGTACACCATTATGTTAATTTGAAAATGCTATTTGACAATCGTATTTTGACAATGTACCAGTTCGGTACGTTTAACGTGCAATGCAGCATACTAGGCTTTCTGAATAAAAAATAAACATCACTTACTGAGTTATTCAAACTATCTGACGACGATCACAATGCCAAAGGTGCATACCTGCGCTTAGCGACTTGTGACACTATCAAAACTGCAAGTTTCGTACAGTGACAGAAAAATACCAAGCAAACATCGGATGCCATAAACCAGGTGAGACGTTTGAATCGAGATCGACTATAGAATCGTTGCTACATTTCGTAAATTATTAATGAAAATGTATAGCTAAATGAATATCAATTTAATGAAATTGTATCAAGTCTCAAATGCATTGACTGAGTAATGAATCGCAAGTTATTGATATTTGATTAGCTATTATATTATCATTATATTAAAACATCATCCTTGTTTATAAAAAAATCATGAATTCATCCATATAATGAAGCATTTTTAGAAGGGACTCTCATTAAATGAACATGTGAAATGAAAACACAGGAGGGTTTGTGGCACATTTTCGGGGGAAGGTGGCTCTTGGGGTCAGCTTTATTTGTAAACAATTGATATGATGGTAAAATAATATATCTGGGAATGTTACTATTTATTCAGTCCCAGGGGTCTTTAGTGCTCTTAGATCAATCATTAAGTGTTCTCCCCGTGTCTGCAACAAGGTATTGCCAAAATCAGTGCACTTTATCTTCTAGACAATACCTGTTCTTTCTACTGTTGGTGATGTATCATTTGCATTAACTAGCCTCGAGGTGCTAAGTCTCCTTGATATTAGGAAAGTTCGTTTAAAGCGTGAAGCTTATTGAATTGATACCACAAACAAGGTGAGGCGTTTGACAGAGATAATTTTAGATAGATTACTTACCAGCATTCACATGCTTTCTTAGCAGTTAGGTAAAAATATTAAAAAACACCGGACAAAAATAAAAACATTCATACAAACGTTCGTTAATGAAGCTTACATATTAATCGCTAAAGGGATACAAATTCCTACCTCATATGAATTGGCACCGGATGCAAAATAATATTACTATCTTCGTGTAATATGCTTATTCCATATTGCCCTTTAGCATTTTACATCTCACCTTCTATGCATGTTATTAAATGGAAATTGGTGAATAGCACATCGCCAGTCGTTTGAACAACGTTTGAAAACCAGCTCATTGGTGCTATAAAATGTTATGAATGAATTATTGGTACAACTTTATACATGTGTTTAGTTGTTGATACCTCCAAGTACAAGTAAGCATTATAGATGGGGATGATGAGGAATAAAGTATATATCCTCTTTACATGGCTCGAGTCCTCTGTCAGCGCAACGGAAAATAGGTATTCGGTTACGCACTTTGGGCAAATTGACCATGAGATGGAGCTGTGCAATAGACCGTACAGCGAGAGTAGTTACACTGACCGTTCCAATGTCCTCAGAAAAAAAAAATTGAATATATTTATATAATTATGTACATGTATATATCTAACATTTACATTGCTTATCTATTTTAACAATGTTTGTCCGTGTCAATTGCTTACGTTGCAAACTTGGTGTGACCATAATAAACCAAATCATGATATTAATATAGGAACCAACTTCATTTCCGGAATATGCATAGTTTACAATGTAAAGAAGCAGTGCAGCTTCATTCCAGTATTTAACATGTACTCCATGTTCATACAAACTCCAAACAAATATGATGCCAAAAACTAGCTGTTGCATCCTCAAATAGTCGGATCGAAAAACAATTAAAAAAAAGGGCCATTTTCTTTGATTCATATATTAATTATGATTATATCAAACCTAGGCTTTAATAAATTCAGTCTATAAGCCGTACATATATGTGTGAGTAACAAATTAAAAAGTGATACAATAACAAAGCAACAATCAAATGGCTGTTCCTCACTTGATTCAATACAACTTGTGCTAAAAAAGGGCAATTATACAAATAATGCTGCTAATTGATATGGATTTGGAATATAGAAGAAAGAAAAAACACAAGCAGAATTACAAAGGTGACGGGATAAAACATTCTATAATATCTATTCCGAATAAACACATATATTTCAATGTCACACAAGACCCAAGCAAATACTGATATGCTACAAACTACGTAATGCTTTTTAACTGGAAGTTTCTTTCCTCACATCCCCTTTCCCCGCAGTTAAGTCCGGAAGACAATTGCTGATAACGATTATCGTCTATATATATATATATATATATATATATATGTATATATTTAAGACACATTAAACCCTTGTCAAGGGACGCATATTGAATTAAATAAAAAAATAAAAAAGAAGAATCATTAGAATAACGTCGAAATACTTTCCATGATCCTTAAATTTCAAAGTTTCATTACCCTCAACAAATAATTTGTCACTGCAAAATATTGTGTGAGGTAATCTCAAACTTCAATGTACAAGTTTTTTTCTTTTTAAGAAATAACGAAAGAAAATCACTTTAAAATAATTTATTATGACCATCATTACAGGTTCAATTCCTTGCAGTGCCCCGTACATTCCCGCGCACGCACATGTAACAAATCCTCGTCTCAACTACAACTTTGGTGCCAAAATTACTGTGACGTGTAATGCCACTTCTGATACCTTCAACCTTCAGTGTCATAACAAAGGACTATGGAGTGGACCGATTGTATCCTGCCCTGAATCGACGGGTAAGATAATATTCAAGATTTGAATCTAAACAATGCATCAAAACCCCTAACACTCAGTCAGGTAGTACGATGCGTGAATATATTCGTCCTGTTTCGCTCTGTTCTTAAACACATGTCCATAGGCCAGCTTAATACCCGAACGAATCCTGAGCTGCCAAAACACTGTAAACTCGCAAAGCTAGTAAAGCTGATGAACACTAATTGCCAAATGGTATTTTTGAATGTTCTTGTCAGGTGGGCTGTATCTAATACAGACCACCTTATAATTTTGTTAAAATCGCCTGTATTTATTTATTTATTTATTTATTTATCAGGTGGGCTGTATAACGTACAGACCACCTTATAATTTCGTTAGAATTGCCTTTATTATTTATCAGGTGGGCTGTATCTAATACAGACCACCTTATATTTTTGTTAAAATCGCCTTTATTATTTATTTTTCTTATTTCGACCCACTTTTTGTTAGCAAGATATCTTTGAAATTATTCAATCAAATGCTTTGAAACTTGGCACACATATGTATAGGCATATGGACAAAACACAGTAAGGTTTTCAACCTTGACCTTGACTGATGACGTCATCTAGGCGCCATTTTGTGAAATTTTCTGAAAAAAAACTCATGATCATATCTTCATAACCAAAGGGTATTTCTCATTCATATTTATCATGATCAAGGTCAATATCAGTCCGGTCAATTTCAGATCAAAAAACGCGCGCGTGCGCGTACGTCCGCGCGTCAATACGCGCGCAAAAATTTTAATTGCTCAAAATCGTCTCAAATTTATTTTGCATACGTTTCAGGTCATTTTAAGCATTTTACAAAAAATCGCGCGTACGAGCATGCGCGCGCGTTTTCGCGCGTAACACCATTACAAAACATAGAATCGCCATTTTTTTTTCTTTCATGATATTTCTCATATTTTTTCAAGGAATTTGATTCCATGTTTATCTCTTTATGACCATTATTAACAAGATGAGCGTAAATTCAAGATAAATGTCAGTGCGCGCGAGGTCTTTTAATACATAGCATATATGGGCAAAAACATGCCTATACAAAATCCGTTATAGCTCTTTGGAATGCACCGGGATCCTCAATTTTTTTTCATATTAAGATAGAGTATGAGTCGGAAATATGATTCCATGTCTCATTTGGCCATTAAGTGTATCGTGACATCATCACAATGGCCTTGGAACTCAAAATACGAATTTGCATATTATGACGTCAGCATATTTATGTAAAATTGATTGTATCTCTGTAAATATTGATCAATTTTCTTCAAAATTTCGATATGTTGTAGCTAAGACAATTCTCTACAAGCGCAGTAATAACCATTTTTCATTTTGATGACGTCATCATAGTGAAAATTTTGATTAAAGTCCTCATGTCAAAAACTTCATAATTTGCGTGTTATGCCTATAGAAGGTGAATTTATTTCACGTTATGAATCTACATGATATTGTCTTTTAAGAATTTGTAAGCAGTATGTCGCTTATTTTTGCTCTATTTTGTCTCAAATGTTAGTTGACCAGCCCACCTATACTTGTTCCAAACAAGTATTATATGTCTAGTTTATTTATTTATTTATTTATTAAATATTTTTCTTATTTCTAACCACTTTTTTGTTAGCAAGATAACTTAAAAATGCCTTGATCAAATGCCTTGAAATTTGGCACACATATGTAAAGGCATATGTACAAGGCACAATAACGTTTTCAACATTGTCCTTCACTGATGACGTCATCTAGGCGCCATTTTGTAAAATTTTACGAAAATTAACTCATGATCATATCTTCATAACCAAAAGCTATTTCTCTTTCTTATTTATCATGATCGAGGTCAATATCCGTCCGGTCAATTTCAGGTAAAATAACGCGCGCGTGCGCGTACGTCCGCGCGTCGATGCGCGCGCAAAATTTGAAAATGCTCAAAATCGTCTTAAAATCATTTTGCATACGTTTTAGGCCATTCTAAGCATTTTATAAAAAATCGCCCACACACACGCGCATGCGCGCGGCGCGCGCGTTTTCGCGCGTAAAACTATTACACAACATAGAATCGCCATTTTTTTTCTTTCATAATATTCCACATATTTTTACATACAAATTGATACCATGCTTGTCTCTTTATGACTATTAATAATGGAATGATGGCCCGTTTAACATAAATTTCCGTGCGCGCGAGCTCTTGTAATACATAGCATATATGGGAAAAAACATGCCTATACAAGATCCATTGTAGCCCTTTAGGATGCAAGGTGACCCCAATTTTTGGGTCATATTTTGATACAGTATGAATTGGAGATATGATTTCATGTCTCATTTGAACCTCAATTAACTCATGACGTCATCATAATGGCCTCCAAACTCAAAATTTCAATTTGCATATTATGACGTCAGCATATTTACGGAAAATTGATTGTTTCTCTGTAAATATTGATTGATTGTCTTCAAAATTTTGATATGTTTTAGCTGAGACAATTCTCTACAAATAAAGTTGGCCCAAATTTTCATTTTGACAAAGGCATCAGGGCGTATTTTCGCGATTAAAAGGCATGTCAATTTTTCACATTTTGCGTGTATTCTCTATGGGACATGAGTTTTTCTCAAAACTGGATTCTTTCGCGAGCAATATCTCTGTCGTTTAGCTTCGTTTATGCTGAACTTCAAGTATGTTGTAGCTGAGACAATAAGCTATCTCAAATGTACCCTTTATTTTGTCTCAAATTTTAGTTCGACCAGCCCACCTATACTTGTTCCAAACAAGTATTACATATCTAGTTAATTTTTCTTATTTCCACCCACTTTTTTGTTAGCAAGATAACTTTATAATGGTTCAATCAAATGCTTTGATATTTGGGACACATATGTATAGGCATATGGACAAAACACGGTTAAGTTTTCAACTTTGACCTTGACTGATAACGTCATCTAGGCGCCATTTTCTGAAATTTTCGGAAAATCAATTCATGATCATATCTTCATAACCAAAAGGTATTTTTCATTCATATTTATCATGATCAAGGTCAATGTCAGTCCGGTTAATTTCAAGTCAAAATACGCATGCGTGCGCGTACGTCCGCGCGTCTGTGCGCGCGCAAAATTATTAAATGTTCAAAATCGTCTCAAATTTATTTTGCATACGTTTTAGGTCATTTTAAGCATTTTATAAAAAGTCGCGCACACGCGCATGCGCGCGCGTTTTCCCGCGTAACACCATAACAAAACATAATATCGGCATTTGTTTTTTCTTTCATGATATTTCACATATTTTTTTCGAGGAATTAGATACCATGTTTATATCTTTATGACCATAAATAATAAGATGAGCGTCAATTCAAGATAAATGTCCGTGCGGGCGAGCTCTTATAATACATAGCATATATGGGCAAAAACATGCCTATACATAATCCATTATAGCTCTTAGGAATAAATTGTGACCTTCAATTTTTTTCATATTTAGATACAGTAAGAGTCGGAGATATGATTCCATGTCTCATTTGGCCATTAAGTGTATCGTGACATCATCATAATGGCCTTCAAACTCAAAATACGAATTTGCATATTATGAAGTCAGCATATTTATGTAAAATTGATTGTATCTCTGTGAATATTGATCGATTTTCTTCCAAATTTCGATATGTTTTAGCTAAGACAATTCTCTACAAGCTCAGCATCACCATTCATCATTTTGATCACGTTATCATAGTGAAAATTACGATCAAAGGGCACATATCAGAAATTTCTTAAGTTGCGAGTTACGCCTAAGGAAGGTGAAATTCGTTCACATCATTCATCTACATGACATTGTTTTTTAGCATTATCTCGCTTATTTTTGCTCTATTTTGTATCAAAGTTTAGTTGACCAGACCACCTATTCTTGTTCCAAACAACCATTATATGTCTAGTTGTAATTCATTACGTAAGAAGCATTCGCAATTTGGTGAAAGTAAAACATATAGTTTTCGTTTAGTTTAGTTTCCACAATCCTCCGCATTGAGGGTTCAGACATAAACTAGTAATTGTAGGCATTTATTACAGTTGTGAAGCAAGTAACTTTAAATTTGTTTCCCTCAACTCTAGCTGTTCCGACGAACTGTAATGCTCCTTCAGTCCCGAGATACTCAACGCTCGAAACCCTTAGTCCGCACTATAACATTGGTGACAGTGTGACATTCCGATGTGACAATACCACCATTCAACCGTTCAGTCTTCTTTGTGAAACCACTGGGTTATGGAGTGGAACAATGCAGACGTGCCCGCCACCCGTCTCAGGTATCTATGTCATATGTGTATTCATTATTGCCACAGACGATACTATATACGGGACTAAAAATATAACTCTGATAAGAGTCAAATTTGCGAGTTTTACAATTTTTGATCACTTTAGATCATAAACATTGACAACGACTAAAATATATGAATAGATATGCTGCCTTATAAATTGAGGTTTATTAAGAGGTGAACAAGATAACGGCAGTGCATTCGTATCTGAAACCTATCCCTCTGACAGGAAAATTTCGACTGGCTTCCGTCATAAACGATCTCCAAATTAATGGTCATGATTATGGAGGAAGATATTAAACCTTAATATTAGATTTAGGAAAAAGTGCCCGTTACTCTGCAAACTTTAATTGTTCAAATTACAAACAGAGTTTAACAAACAACAATACAATTGCCCAAACTGCTATAATATGCTAATCGTATGGGGCTCGGCACATTACTAAAGATCCGACTTATTATCAGGTAACATTTGTATGTGGGCTTATCATGGGAATGTAGGATCGATCAATAATTGTGATTATTAAGGCTATGTTTAGAAGAAGCATTATATACCAATAGTTCAAGTTAGGAGGTCAAGTAGGGTAAAACTTTGATCGCTGCGGTATTGGTCGTAAAACTGTTCGATATTCCTAGTTCAAACTGTAGATATTGATCATAACTTTCTCTGTCTAAACTACTATTGAAACATACGTCTTGCATTTCCATTCACAGCCCCTACACGATGCACTAGTCCATATATCCCAAAGTATGCATCAGCTGCAAACGTACGTTTGTCCTACAGCATCGGTAAGAGGGTAGAAATCACCTGTGACGGCACAACAGACAGGTCGTTTACCCTTCAGTGCAACTCAGATGGGTTTTGGACGGGACGTGTCCTTTCTTGCTCACCGCCGTCAGAAGGTTAGCTATATTTATTATTCATTTATTCATATATCATTTTATATTTATCTACCTAGCTCTTAATGTTAAAAAAAGCGTTAATAATACCAGAGCCCCAACGCACACACGTATATAATTAACTGAGTTTGGACTGTTTACAAGGTACCCAGAATTCGTTTTCACTGGCTGCCTGCCGTAGCAACAAACAAAGTTGACAAAAGACTATACTCCGTTTAGTTGACGATCAGCCATGCATCAAGTCTTTTGTCTTCTTTGTGCATGGAGGATCGTCAACGAAACACAGTTAAAGCTTAAATTATGGAAATGCAAGCAAGCATTACCAAAAAACAGAACTTAGTTTTTCCTGGCTCATTTTGGCCATTAAGTGTATCGTGACATCATCATAATGGCCTTGGAACTCAAAATACGAATTTGCATGTTATGAACTCAGCATATTTATGTAAAATTGATTGTATCTCTGTGAATATTGATCGATTTTCTTCCAAATTTCGATGTGTTTTAGCTAAGACAATTCTCTACAAGCTCAGCATCACCATTTATCATTTTGATCACGTAATCATAGTGAAAATTACGATCAAAGGGCACATATCAGAAATTTCTTAAGTTGCGAGTTACGCCTAAGGAAGGTGAAATTCGTTCACATCATTCATTTACATGACATTGTTTTTTAGCATTATCTCGCTTATTTTTGCTCTATTTTGTATCAAAGTTTAGTTGACCAGCCCACCTATTCTTGTTCCAAACAACCATTATATGTCTAGTTGTAATTCATTACGTAAGAAGCATTCGCAATTTGGTGAAAGTAAAACATATAGTTTTCGTTTAGTTTAGTTTCCACAATCCTCCACATTGAGGGTTCAGACATAAACTAGTAATTGTAGGCATTTATTACAGTTGTGAAGCAAGTAACTTATAATTTGTTTCCCTCAACTGTAGCTGTTCCGACGAACTGTAATGCTCCTTCAGTCCCGAGATACTCAACGCTCGAAACCCTTAGTCCGCACTATAACATTGGTGACAGTGTGACATTCCGATGTGACAATACCACCATTCAACCGTTCAGTCTTCTTTGTGAAACCACTGGGTTATGGAGTGGAACAATGCAGACGTGCCCGCCACCCGTCTCAGGTATCTATGTCATATGTGTATTCATTATTGCCACAGACGATACTATATACGGGACTAAAAATATAACTCTGATAAGAGTCAAATTTGCGAGTTTTACAATTTTTGATCACTTTAGATCATAAACATTGACAACGACTAAAATATATGAATAGATATGCTGCCTTATTAATTGAGGTTTATAAAGAGGTGAACAAGATAACGGCAGTGCATTCGTATCTGAAACCTATCCCTCTGACAGGAAAATTTCGACTGGCTTCCGTCATAAACGATCCCCAAATTAATGGTCATGATTATGGAGGAAGATATTAAACCTTAATATTAGATTTAGGAAAAAGTGCCCGTTACTCTGCAAACTTTAATTGTTCAAATTACAAACAGAGTTTAACAAACAACAATACAATTGCCCAAACTGCTATAATATGCTAATCGTATGGGGCTCGGCACATTACTAAAGATCCGACTTATTATCAGGTAACATTTGTATGTGGGCTTATCATGGGAATGTAGGATCGATCAATAATTGTGATTATTAAGGCTATGTTTAGAAGAAGCATTATATACCAATAGTTCAAGTTAGGAGGTCAAGTAGGGTAAAACTTTGATCGCTGCGGTATTGGTCGTAAAACTGTTCGATATTCCTAGTTCAAACTGTAGATATTGATCATAACTTTCTCTGTCTAAACTACTATTGAAACATACGTCTTGCATTTCCATTCACAGCCCCTACACGATGCACTAGTCCATATATCCCAAAGTATGCATCAGCTGCAAACGTACGTTTGTCCTACAGCATCGGTAAGAGGGTAGAAATCACCTGTGACGGCACAACAGACAGGTCGTTTACCCTTCAGTGCAACTCAGATGGGTTTTGGACGGGACGTGTCCTTTCTTGCTCACCGCCGTCAGAAGGTTAGCTATATTTATTATTCATTTATTCATATATCATTTTATATTTATCTACCTAGCTCTTAATGTTAAAAAAGCGTTAATAATACCAGAGCCCCAACGCACACACGTATATAATTAACTGAGTTTGGACTGTTTACAAGGTACCCAGAATTCGTTTTCACTGGCTGCCTGCCGTAGCAACAAACAAAGTTGACAAAAGACTATACTCCGTTTAGTTGACGATCAGCCATGCATCAAGTCTTTTGTCTTCTTTGTGCATGGAGGATCGTCAACGAAACACAGTTAAAGCTTAAATTATGGAAATGCAAGCAAGCATTACCAAAAAACAGAACTTAGTTTTTCCTGGCTCATTTTGGCCATTAAGTGTATCGTGACATCATCATAATGGCCTTGGAACTCAAAATACGAATTTGCATGTTATGAACTCAGCATATTTATGTAAAATTGATTGTATCTCTGTGAATATTGATCGATTTTCTTCCAAATTTCGATGTGTTTTAGCTAAGACAATTTTCTACAAGCTCAGCATCACCATTTATCATTTTGATCACGTAATCATAGTGAAAATTACGATCAAAGGGCACATATCAGAAATTTCTTAAGTTGCGAGTTACGCCTAAGGAAGGTGAAATTCGTTCACATCATTCATTTACATGACATTGTTTTTTAGCATTATCTCGCTTATTTTTGCTCTATTTTGTATCAAAGTTTAGTTGACCAGCCCACCTATTCTTGTTCCAAACAACCATTATATGTCTAGTTGTAATTCATTACGTAAGAAGCATTCGCAATTTGGTGAAAGTAAAACATATAGTTTTCGTTTAGTTTAGTTTCCACAATCCTCCACATTGAGGGTTCAGACATAAACTAGTAATTGTAGGCATTTATTACAGTTGTGAAGCAAGTAACTTATAATTTGTTTCCCTCAACTGTAGCTGTTCCGACGAACTGTAATGCTCCTTCAGTCCCGAGATACTCAACGCTCGAAACCCTTAGTCCGCACTATAACATTGGTGACAGTGTGACATTCCGATGTGACAATACCACCATTCAACCGTTCAGTCTTCTTTGTGAAACCACTGGGTTATGGAGTGGAACAATGCAGACGTGCCCGCCACCCGTCTCAGGTATCTATGTCATATGTGTATTCATTATTGCCACAGACGATACTATATACGGGACTAAAAATATAACTCTGATAAGAGTCAAATTTGCGAGTTTTACAATTTTTGATCACTTTAGATCATAAACATTGACAACGACTAAAATATATGAATAGATATGCTGCCTTATTAATTGAGGTTTATAAAGAGGTGAACAAGATAACGGCAGTGCATTCGTATCTGAAACCTATCCCTCTGACAGGAAAATTTCGACTGGCTTCCGTCATAAACGATCCCCAAATTAATGGTCATGATTATGGAGGAAGATATTAAACCTTAATATTAGATTTAGGAAAAAGTGCCCGTTACTCTGCAAACTTTAATTGTTCAAATTACAAACAGAGTTTAACAAACAACAATACAATTGCCCAAACTGCTATAATATGCTAATCGTATGGGGCTCGGCACATTACTAAAGATCCGACTTATTATCAGGTAACATTTGTATGTGGGCTTATCATGGGAATGTAGGATCGATCAATAATTGTGATTATTAAGGCTATGTTTAGAAGAAGCATTATATACCAATAGTTCAAGTTAGGAGGTCAAGTAGGGTAAAACTTTGATCGCTGCGGTATTGGTCGTAAAACTGTTCGATATTCCTAGTTCAAACTGTAGATATTGATCATAACTTTCTCTGTCTAAACTACTATTGAAACATACGTCTTGCATTTCCATTCACAGCCCCTACACGATGCACTAGTCCATATATCCCAAAGTATGCATCAGCTGCAAACGTACGTTTGTCCTACAGCATCGGTAAGAGGGTAGAAATCACCTGTGACGGCACAACAGACAGGTCGTTTACCCTTCAGTGCAACTCAGATGGGTTTTGGACGGGACGTGTCCTTTCTTGCTCACCGCCGTCAGAAGGTTAGCTATATTTATTATTCATTTATTCATATATCATTTTATATTTATCTACCTAGCTCTTAATGTTAAAAAAGCGTTAATAATACCAGAGCCCCAACGCACACACGTATATAATTAACTGAGTTTGGACTGTTTACAAGGTACCCAGAATTCGTTTTCACTGGCTGCCTGCCGTAGCAACAAACAAAGTTGACAAAAGACTATACTCCGTTTAGTTGACGATCAGCCATGCATCAAGTCTTTTGTCTTCTTTGTGCATGGAGGATCGTCAACGAAACACAGTTAAAGCTTAAATTATGGAAATGCAAGCAAGCATTACCAAAAAACAGAACTTAGTTTTTCCTGGCTCATTTTGGCCATTAAGTGTATCGTGACATCATCATAATGGCCTTGGAACTCAAAATACGAATTTGCATGTTATGAACTCAGCATATTTATGTAAAATTGATTGTATCTCTGTGAATATTGATCGATTTTCTTCCAAATTTCGATGTGTTTTAGCTAAGACAATTTTCTACAAGCTCAGCATCACCATTTATCATTTTGATCACGTAATCATAGTGAAAATTACGATCAAAGGGCACATATCAGAAATTTCTTAAGTTGCGAGTTACGCCTAAGGAAGGTGAAATTCGTTCACATCATTCATTTACATGACATTGTTTTTTAGCATTATCTCGCTTATTTTTGCTCTATTTTGTATCAAAGTTTAGTTGACCAGCCCACCTATTCTTGTTCCAAACAACCATTATATGTCTAGTTGTAATTCATTACGTAAGAAGCATTCGCAATTTGGTGAAAGTAAAACATATAGTTTTCGTTTAGTTTAGTTTCCACAATCCTCCACATTGAGGGTTCAGACATAAACTAGTAATTGTAGGCATTTATTACAGTTGTGAAGCAAGTAACTTATAATTTGTTTCCCTCAACTGTAGCTGTTCCGACGAACTGTAATGCTCCTTCAGTCCCGAGATACTCAACGCTCGAAACCCTTAGTCCGCACTATAACATTGGTGACAGTGTGACATTCCGATGTGACAATACCACCATTCAACCGTTCAGTCTTCTTTGTGAAACCACTGGGTTATGGAGTGGAACAATGCAGACGTGCCCGCCACCCGTCTCAGGTATCTATGTCATATGTGTATTCATTATTGCCACAGACGATACTATATACGGGACTAAAAATATAACTCTGATAAGAGTCAAATTTGCGAGTTTTACAATTTTTGATCACTTTAGATCATAAACATTGACAACGACTAAAATATATGAATAGATATGCTGCCTTATTAATTGAGGTTTATAAAGAGGTGAACAAGATAACGGCAGTGCATTCGTATCTGAAACCTATCCCTCTGACAGGAAAATTTCGACTGGCTTCCGTCATAAACGATCCCCAAATTAATGGTCATGATTATGGAGGAAGATATTAAACCTTAATATTAGATTTAGGAAAAAGTGCCCGTTACTCTGCAAACTTTAATTGTTCAAATTACAAACAGAGTTTAACAAACAACAATACAATTGCCCAAACTGCTATAATATGCTAATCGTATGGGGCTCGGCACATTACTAAAGATCCGACTTATTATCAGGTAACATTTGTATGTGGGCTTATCATGGGAATGTAGGATCGATCAATAATTGTGATTATTAAGGCTATGTTTAGAAGAAGCATTATATACCAATAGTTCAAGTTAGGAGGTCAAGTAGGGTAAAACTTTGATCGCTGCGGTATTGGTCGTAAAACTGTTCGATATTCCTAGTTCAAACTGTAGATATTGATCATAACTTTCTCTGTCTAAACTACTATTGAAACATACGTCTTGCATTTCCATTCACAGCCCCTACACGATGCACTAGTCCATATATCCCAAAGTATGCATCAGCTGCAAACGTACGTTTGTCCTACAGCATCGGTAAGAGGGTAGAAATCACCTGTGACGGCACAACAGACAGGTCGTTTACCCTTCAGTGCAACTCAGATGGGTTTTGGACGGGACGTGTCCTTTCTTGCTCACCGCCGTCAGAAGGTTAGCTATATTTATTATTCATTTATTCATATATCATTTTATATTTATCTACCTAGCTCTTAATGTTAAAAAAGCGTTAATAATACCAGAGCCCCAACGCACACACGTATATAATTAACTGAGTTTGGACTGTTTACAAGGTACCCAGAATTCGTTTTCACTGGCTGCCTGCCGTAGCAACAAACAAAGTTGACAAAAGACTATACTCCGTTTAGTTGACGATCAGCCATGCATCAAGTCTTTTGTCTTCTTTGTGCATGGAGGATCGTCAACGAAACACAGTTAAAGCTTAAATTATGGAAATGCAAGCAAGCATTACCAAAAAACAGAACTTAGTTTTTCCTGGCTCATTTTGGCCATTAAGTGTATCGTGACATCATCATAATGGCCTTGGAACTCAAAATACGAATTTGCATGTTATGAACTCAGCATATTTATGTAAAATTGATTGTATCTCTGTGAATATTGATCGATTTTCTTCCAAATTTCGATGTGTTTTAGCTAAGACAATTTTCTACAAGCTCAGCATCACCATTTATCATTTTGATCACGTAATCATAGTGAAAATTACGATCAAAGGGCACATATCAGAAATTTCTTAAGTTGCGAGTTACGCCTAAGGAAGGTGAAATTCGTTCACATCATTCATCTACATGACATTGTTTTTTAGCATTATCTCGCTTATTTTTGCTCTATTTTGTATCAAAGTTTAGTTGACCAGCCCACCTATTCTTGTTCCAAACAACCATTATATGTCTAGTTGTAATTCATTACGTAAGAAGCATTCGCAATTTGGTGAAAGTAAAACATATAGTTTTCGTTTAGTTTAGTTTCCACAATCCTGCACATTGAGGGTTCAGACATAAACTAGTAATTGTAGGCATTTATTACAGTTGTGAAGCAAGTAACTTATAATTTGTTTCCCTCAACTCTAGCTGTTCCGACGAACTGTAATGCTCCTTCAGTCCCGAGATACTCAACGCTCGAAACCCTTAGTCCGCACTATAACATTGGTGACAGTGTGACATTCCGATGTGACAATACCACCATTCAACCGTTCAGTCTTCTTTGTGAAACCACTGGGTTATGGAGTGGAACAATGCAGACGTGCCCGCCACCCGTCTCAGGTATCTATGTCATATGTGTATTCATTATTGCCACAGACGATACTATATACGGGACTAAAAATATAACTCTGATAAGAGTCAAATTTGCGAGTTTTACAATTTTTGATCACTTTAGATCATAAACATTGACAACGACTAAAATATATGAATAGATATGCTGCCTTATTAATTGAGGTTTATAAAGAGGTGAACAAGATAACGGCAGTGCATTCGTATCTGAAACCTATCCCTCTGACAGGAAAATTTCGACTGGCTTCCGTCATAAACGATCCCCAAATTAATGGTCATGATTATGGAGGAAGATATTAAACCTTAATATTAGATCTAGGAAAAAGTGCCCGTTACTCTGCAAACTTTAATTGTTCAAATTACAAACAGAGTTTAACAAACAACAATACAATTGCCCAAACTGCTATAATATGCTAATCGTATGGGGCTCGGCACATTACTAAAGATCCGACTTATTATCAGGTAAGATTTGTATGTGGGCTTATCATGGGAATGTAGGATCGATCAATAATTGTGATTATTAAGGCTATGTTTAGAAGAAGCATTATATACCAATAGTTCAAGTTAGGAGGTCAAGTAGGGTAAAACTTTGATCGCTGCGGTATTGGTCGTAAAACTGTTCGATATTCCTAGTTCAAACTGTAGATATTGATCATAACTTTCTCTGTCTAAACTACTATTGAAACATACGTCTTGCATTTCCATTCACAGCCCCTACACGATGCACTAGTCCATATATCCCAAAGTATGCATCAGCTGCAAACGTACGTTTGTCCTACAGCATCGGTAAGAGGGTAGAAATCACCTGTGACGGCACAACAGACAGGTCGTTTACCCTTCAGTGCAACTCAGATGGGTTTTGGACGGGACGTGTCCTTTCTTGCTCACCGCCGTCAGAAGGTTAGCTATATTTATTATTCATTTATTCATATATCATTTTATATTTATCTACCTAGCTCTTAATGTTAAAAAAAGCGTTAATAATACCAGAGCCCCAACGCACACACGTATATAATTAACTGAGTTTGGACTGTTTACAAGGTACCCAGAATTCGTTTTCACTGGCTGCCTGCCGTAGCAACAAACAAAGTTGACAAAAGACTATACTCCGTTTAGTTGACGATCAGCCATGCATCAAGTCTTTTGTCTTCTTTGTGCATGGAGGATCGTCAACGAAACACAGTTAAAGCTTAAATTATGGAAATGCAAGCAAGCATTACCAAAAAACAGAACTTAGTTTTTCCTGGCTCATTTTGGCCATTAAGTGTATCGTGACATCATCATAATGGCCTTGGAACTCAAAATACGAATTTGCATGTTATGAACTCAGCATATTTATGTAAAATTGATTGTATCTCTGTGAATATTGATCGATTTTCTTCCAAATTTCGATGTGTTTTAGCTAAGACAATTCTCTACAAGCTCAGCATCACCATTTATCATTTTGATCACGTTATCATAGTGAAAATTACGATCAAAGGGCACATATCAGAAATTTCTTAAGTTGCGAGTTACGCCTAAGGAAGGTGAAATTCGTTCACATCATTCATCTACATGACATTGTTTTTTAGCATTATCTCGCTTATTTTTGCTCTATTTTGTATCAAAGTTTAGTTGACCAGCCCACCTATTCTTGTTCCAAACAACCATTATATGTCTAGTTGTAATTCATTACGTAAGAAGCATTCGCAATTTGGTGAAAGTAAAACATATAGTTTTCGTTTAGTTTAGTTTCCACAATCCTCCGCATTGAGGGTTCAGACATAAACTAGTAATTGTAGGAATTTATTACAGTTGTGAAGCAAGTAACTTATAATTTGTTTCCCTCAACTCTAGCTGTTCCGACGAACTGTAATGCTCCTTCAGTCCCGAGATACTCAACGCTCGAAACCCTTAGTCCGCACTATAACATTGGTGACAGTGTGACATTCCGATGTGACAATACCACCATTCAACCGTTCAGTCTTCTTTGTGAAACCACTGGGTTATGGAGTGGAACAATGCAGACGTGCCCGCCACCCGTCTCAGGTATCTATGTCATATGTGTATTCATTATTGCCACAGACGATACTATATACGGGACTAAAAATATAACTCTGATAAGAGTCAAATTTGCGAGTTTTACAATTTTTGATCACTTTAGATCATAAACATTGACAACGACTAAAATATATGAATAGATATGCTGCCTTATTAATTGAGGTTTATAAAGAGGTGAACAAGATAACGGCAGTGCATTCGTATCTGAAACCTATCCCTCTGACAGGAAAATTTCGACTGGCTTCCGTCATAAACGATCTCCAAATTAATGGTCATGATTATGGAGGAAGATATTAAACCTTAATATTAGATCTAGGAAAAAGTGCCCGTTACTCTGCAAACTTTAATTGTTCAAATTACAAACAGAGTTTAACAAACAACAACACAATTGCCCAAACTGCTATAATATGCTAATCGTATGGGGCTCGGCACATTACTAAAGATCCGACTTATTATCAGGTAACATTTGTATGTGGGCTTATCATGGGAATGTAGGATCGATCAATAATTGTGATTATTAAGGCTATGTTTAGAAGAAGCATTATATACCAATAGTTCAAGTTAGGAGGTCAAGTAGGGTAAAACTTTGATCGCTGCGGTATTGGTCGTAAAACTGTTCGATATTCCTAGTTCAAACTGTAGATATTGATCATAACTTTCTCTGTCTAAACTACTATTGAAACATACGTCCTGCATTTCCATTCACAGCCCCTACACGATGCACTAGTCCATATATCCCAAAGTATGCATCAGCTGAAAACGTACGTTTGTCCTACAGCATCGGTAAGAGGGTAGAAATCACCTGTGACGGCACAACAGACAGGTCGTTTACCCTTCAGTGCAACTCAGATGGGTTTTGGACGGGACGTCTCCTTTCTTGCTCACCGCCGTCAGAAGGTTAGCTATATTTATTATTCATTTATTCATTTATCATTTTATATTTATCTACCTAGCTCTTAATGTTAAAAAAAGCGTTAATAATACCAGAGCCCCAACGCACACACGTATATAATTAACTGAGTTTGGACTGTTTACAAGGTACCCAGAATTCGTTTTCACTGGCTGCCTGCCGTAGCAACAAACAAAGTTGACAAAAGACTAAACTCCGTTTAGTTGACGATCAGCCATGCATCAAGTCTTTTGTCTTCTTTGTGCATGGAGGATCGTCAACGAAACACAGTTAAAGCTTAAATTATGGAAATGCAAGCAAGCATTACCAAAAAACAGAACTTAGTTTTTCCTGGCTCATTTTGGCCATTAAGTGTATCGTGACATCATCATAATGGCCTTGGAACTCAAAATACGAATTTGCATGTTATGAACTCAGCATATTTATGTAAAATTGATTGTATCTCTGTGAATATTGATCGATTTTCTTCCAAATTTCGATGTGTTTTAGCTAAGACAATTCTCTACAAGCTCAGCATCACCATTTATCATTTTGATCACGTTATCATAGTGAAAATTACGATCAAAGGGCACATATCAGAAATTTCTTAAGTTGCGAGTTACGCCTAAGGAAGGTGAAATTCGTTCACATCATTCATCTACATGACATTGTTTTTTAGCATTATCTCGCTTATTTTTGCTCTATTTTGTATCAAAGTTTAGTTAACCAGCCCACCTATTCTTGTTCCAAACAACCATTATATGTCTAGTTGTAATTCATTACGTAAGAAGCATTCGCAATTTGGTGAAAGTAAAACATATAGTTTTCGTTTAGTTTAGTTTCCACAATCCTCCACATTGAGGGTTCAGACATAAACTAGTAATTGTAGGCATTTATTACAGTTGTGAAGCAAGTAACTTATAATTTGTTTCCCTCAACTCTAGCTGTTCCGACGAACTGTAATGCTCCTTCAGTCCCGAGATACTCAACGCTCGAAACCCTTAGTCCGCACTATAACATTGGTGACAGTGTGACATTCCGATGTGACAATACCACCATTCAACCGTTCAGTCTTCTTTGTGAAACCACTGGGTTATGGAGTGGAACAATGCAGACGTGCCCGCCACCCGTCTCAGGTATCTATGTCATATGTGTATTCATTATTGCCACAGACGATACTATATACGGGACTAAAAATATAACTCTGATAAGAGTCAAATTTGCGAGTTTTACAATTTTTGATCACTTTAGATCATAAACATTGACAACGACTAAAATATATGAATAGATATGCTGCCTTATTAATTGAGGTTTATAAAGAGGTGAACAAGATAACGGCAGTGCATTCGTATCTGAAACCTATCCCTCTGACAGGAAAATTTCGACTGGCTTCCGTCATAAACGATCCCCAAATTAATGGTCATGATTATGGAGGAAGATATTAAACCTTAATATTAGATTTAGGAAAAAGTGCCCGTTACTCTGCAAACTTTAATTGTTCAAATTACAAACAGAGTTTAACAAACAACAATACATTTGCCCAAACTGCTATAATATGCTAATCGTATGGGGCTCGGCACATTACTAAAGATCCGACTTATTATCAGGTAACATTTGTATGTGGGCTTATCATGGGAATGTAGGATCGATCAATAATTGTGATTATTAAGGCTATGTTTAGAAGAAGCATTATATACCAATAGTTCAAGTTAGGAGGTCAAGTAGGGTAAAACTTTGATCGCTGCGGTATTGGTCGTAAAACTGTTCGATATTCCTAGTTCAAACTGTAGATATTGATCATAACTTTCTCTGTCTAAACTACTATTGAAACATACGTCTTGCATTTCCATTCACAGCCCCTACACGATGCACTAGTCCATATATCCCAAAGTATGCATCAGCTGCAAACGTACGTTTGTCCTACAGCATCGGTAAGAGGGTAGAAATCACCTGTGACGGCACAACAGACAGGTCGTTTACCCTTCAGTGCAACTCAGATGGGTTTTGGACGGGACGTGTCCTTTCTTGCTCACCGCCGTCAGAAGGTTAGCTATATTTATTATTCATTTATTCATATATCATTTTATATTTATCTACCTAGCTCTTAATGTTAAAAAAAGTGTAAATACTACAGAACATAAAGCACCCCACTGCTCCTACGTGCATACGTGTATAATGAACTGCACAATTGTTGTTGGAATAACAATAATAATAATAAAAATAATAATAATAATAATAATAATAATAATAATAATAATAATAATAATATTAATAATAATAACAATAATAATAACAATAATGATAATGATTCTGATACTAATATGACCAATATTACTACTAAAGGATGAAGAGAAAGGACAAATAACATTTAATTCCAGTGCATGTAAGATCTAAACGGACTTGAAAATTAAGAAAATGCTTTATCTTTCGATGTTTGCCATTTTATTAGTGACACCGTTGTACGATAAATTTATACTCAGAAGTGCACTTCATATACCACAACGTACATATCATTATATAATAGAAGGAAAACAGTCACTAAGTGATATCTAGATGTCAATCTACAGAGAATGATATTCAATAAATTATGTTCATTAGCAGAAATGATTTGACACGACTTTATTTCCTGTGATCAATTTCTCATGTAACCTCCCTAATACGTTAAGATAATACTTATTATCCACAAGATAAAAGTTTCATTCTTCTTTCAGCAACAATTGAACATAACATGATTTCCTTTTATTATCACTATTACTAGTATAGTGGGGAGATGAATAAACAACGTACACATAATAGACTTCAGTGAGGGTGTTAGTAAGACTTTTACTCTTATACTGACATTCAAAAGTAAACTTAAGACTTATCTGTTTAATATGTAATGTAATGTAATCATATTTTGTTTGTTTAACTATAAAGTGTTATGTAAATATTAACTATTATTATTGTATGATTGTTATTTGGAATTTGTTATTATAATTATGTATCATGTATTATATTCTTGTAATTTGTAGGTTAACATTACTTTAATTTAATTTTTTGTTAAGCGCTTAGAAACTTTGTATTAAGCGCTATATAAATGTAATTTATTATTATTATTATTATTATTACTGATCTTTAGGGAAAGTTTGGACTGTTTACAAGGTACCCAGAATTCGTTTTCACTGGCTGCCTGCCGTAGCAACAAACAAAGTTGACAAAAGACTGAACTCCGTTTCGTTGACGATCAGCCATGCATCAAGTCTTTTGTCTTATTTGTGCATGGAGGATCGTCAACGAAACAGAGTTAAGGCTTAAATCATGGAAATGCAAGCAAGCATTACCAAAAATCAGAACTTAGTTTTTCCTGGCTCATTTTCCCTCATTGAGGTGTCATATGAAAGGGGTAAAAATGAACTTTCCAGTAATGAATTTTCTCTCTGAAATGCAGATACCACCCGCCAATTAACTTTTTGTTACCCTCTCTTCAAATTGTTTTTAATCACTCATGCGTAGGATATGCTTCATATGAGTTGCATCAAATGAAAGAAAAGGATCTAAGCTTAACAAATTTGTGTCAACAGCTTCGCATTTAATCATAAGTACGTCGCCAAATTCAAATAATTGCAATTGTGAAATGGTTAATCATGCTTGGCGACAAACAAAACATACGACAGTGCAGAGTTGTCCTTAGAAATATCCCTTTTAAAAACAGCTTCACAGCTGATGAGAACACCTACCTGATGTTTTCAGATGCTAGGAACCTGAGGCGTTTCACTATACCAATTTAGAATGCTTGATATTATTTAATCTTGATATGTGCTTTATGACCTTAAAAAAACTGAAGAAAAAAAATGAATGGAAGTACGCGTGGTTTATGGCATAGTGTGCAATCCCGTCAATTCTGACGTGACTGAAGAATGTGGAATGATTAATTCCAATCATTAACATAATCAAAGAATGAACATGAAAAGTGAGATCCGGCATGTAAAAGTCATTCAATTTCAAAATGAAGTTTTGTTTCGGCTCGTCCGCGGACCTTTTTAGTACACAGGCAGGGTAGAGGTCAAAATGGCAAAGGGAAGTTCTAAATAAATATCGACAACGCCAAAATAAGGGCTCGGTGTAAAAATGTCAGAGGTAAAAATGTCCGAGGAAAAAATGTCAGAGGAAAAAATGTTAGAGGTACAATTGTCAGAGGAAAAAATGTCAGAGGTAAAAATGTCGGAGATAATAATGCAAGAGGTAAAAATTTCAGAGGAAAAAATGTCAGAGGTAAAAAGGTCAGAGGTAAAAATGTCAGAGGTAAAAATGTCAGAGGTATAATTTCAGAGGAAAAAATGTACGAGGAAAAAAAATTAGAGGAAAAAAAAATTAGAGGTAAAAATGTCGGAGGGAAAAATGTCAGAGATTCAAACAAAATGTCAGGTAAAAAAAAAAATGTAGAGGTAAAAACTGGTGTCATTATATCACACAAAATGTCGAGACGTAAGCTATTGGGCTAGTCTGCTATATTTTATAAATGACTGTGTATTTTACTTCGTACATGTCCTGAGGATAATACAATGTGGAAAGATAAATTTGAAACGTATATTTTGTGATCAGGTTTGCATATATTAATTTCTATCATTCGTCGATATTTTAAATTGGTTGATGTTTTAATGTTTATTTGGTTTTGAGGAAAAAAGCCTAGGTACATAGAGTTTTAAGATTGAATGAGATAAAACTGGGAATCAGTTATAAATTCCACAAATTCAGTAATTAGACCCATCTTCATGTCCATCCCAGCAAAGACTGTTATGACAAGAAAACATTAAGAAAAAGACACGGATGCTTTGGCCCCCTCATCAATACTTTATTACAAAATGTCAGAGGTAAAAATGTTAAAGGTAAAAATATATTTTTAAAAAGCATGTTACAGGTTAAATATTGGTAATGGTTGTGCAATAGGGTTATCACGAAGAATTTTCTGCAGTCATTAATTTGAGCGCTGCTTTATTTTATTGTTTCTTTAACTTTTATTTACCTTTCTGCCCGAAATTGTGACTTTTCGCCAGATTATTGCTGAGGGGAGACGGGGGGGGGGTATCCTTCTTTTGAGAGGCATACTGACCCGACTGCCTCCCTCTCATATGCCTTTGTCTTAGCAAGTGATACTGGTACACTGAGCAAACTTCTGGAAAAAAGAATGTCTAAAATCGAATAGTTTGGCCATGAATTTTAGGCCGAGTTGTAGCTTGATGGTGTAATCATCAAATAAAAAGAAAATTCATGGCATCCCCCCCCCCCAAAAAAAGAGGATGAAATATCACGCTGTGAGTCCTCCGTCTCCGCCCCCCCCCCCCCCACTTCACCGTTCCTTCTGAAGATTGATGGACATATTAACAGCGTGGCAATGACTACTATTAAATGTAGTTTCCTACAAATACAATGCATATTTCCAACAATTTCACTGTCTTGTGGGCTTGATACTTTGATACAAAGCAGAAACCGCCCATGTTACATCAATGCTAACCGCACCATTACATTCCAGAGAAGCGCGCTTTGCAAAGAGTTGATCGTCGATCACTATTGCGGTATTAGGGACTTTCATATTTGCACGACGAGAACGTGGACTGCTAGCTGTGACATCCTTTTAAGGCAGTGTGACGTCCTTTTAAGGCAAGTTATCAGTGCCCAACAGTGTCTTAAAAGGACGTCACATTGCCTTAAAAGGATGTCCACGTAGCAGTCCACGTTCTCGTCGTGCAAATTTAAAAGTCCCTATTAATGGTCTGGAAAAACATCAATAAGCAGCTTTAATACTCTGATAAAAAGCAAAAATTAAGCCGCCAATGTTACATCAAATGCTAACCGCATCCTTACCATTCCAGATAAGCGCGTGCTTTGCAGAGGTTCTGTTTAAGCTATTGCTGTGAGAGCTCAAACTCTGAAATTCACAAATATTTATTCATGAGCATTGAGCAACATATCAGAAACGTAGTTTTACTGTACACATTTATGGCATCATGATACTGCTTGAATACGTGATAATATTGTTTGAAGGATATTTGGTGCAGGATTTATAAAAAGGTGTGCTGGCATTCACTGTATACGGCAGTTTCCAGCAGGTGCATATTTGTACAAGTCTACACATTAAACAAAATGCATTATAAATTTGGCAGAAAAACAGTTGAAATTGAGGGACTTAAACTGTATTTCTCCCACGTTTCTTAATCACAAACACGATTGTTTAATATAAAGTTACACAGTGTTATGGTCGAAAGCACATGACAAAATATCTGGATAGATACGTCTCAACGTTTACCACTTGTAGGCCTACTATATCTGACATTCTTTAAGCGAAGCTTTGATAGCGTTTGTTAAACTTTTGTAATAGAGTATTGATGAGGGGGACAAAGCATCCGTGTTTTTTCTTAATGTTTTCTTGTCATAACAGTCTTTGCTAGGATGGACATGAAGATGGGTCTAATTACTGAATTTGTGGAATTTCTTTGCGATCTTTATAACTGATTCCCTGTTTTATCTCATTCAATCTTAAAATTCTATGTACCTAGGCTTTTTTTCCTCAAAACCAAATAAACATTAAAACATCAACCAATTTAAAATATCGAAAAATGATGGAAATTAATATATGCAAACCTGATCACAAAATATAAGTTTCAAATTTAACTTTCCACATTTTTTTATCCTCAGGACATGTACGAAGTACAATACACAGTCATTTATAAAATATAGTAGATTAGCCCAGTAGCTTACGTCTCGACATTTTGTGTGATATAGTGCTGAGATATTATAATGACACCAGTTTTTACCTCAACGTTGTTTTTTGTACCTGTCATTTTGTTTGTATCTCTGACATTTTTCCCTCCGACATTTTTACCTCTGACATTTTTCCTCGTACATTTTTTCCTCGTACATTTTTTCCTCTGACATTTTTTCCTCTGACATTTTTACCTCTGACATTTTTACCTCTGACATTTTTACCTCTGACTTTTTTACCTCTGACATTTTTACCTCTGACATTTTTACCTCTAACATTTTTACCTCTTACATTTTTACCTCTCAC